CTAGTACTAATATTTATAAAAACTTGCCAAAAATATCCTTTGGACTATTAAAAAACTGTTATTATTAGAATTTTTTTGTTTAACCAATTCAAAAGGATTTTTCAAGGTTGTCTAAATTATGTCCTAAGTTAACCGGGGTTTTGGCTAACTTTGCACAGCCTTATAAAATTTGAAAAAAAATTTATCGTTTATATGAATTTTGTTAATTAAACTCTTTTTATCATACTAAAACTTTTTGTCATACTAAATATCATACTATTTAAACGAAATTCTAACGAGAGTTTAAATATCATACTATTTAAACGAAATTCTAACGAGAGTTTAAAGACGAATAAAAAAAAAAAGAAACATAGCCATATTAAAAACTAAAAACACAAAATTTCTTTTAATGTAGGCCTTTATATATCTTTAAAATAAAAAATAAAAGCTAACTCAACAAACTTCAAGAGAAATAAAAGTCTAATAGAGGTACTTTGTAAAGTTCTTCAGTGTAGTTTTTTTTTAGGCTGCTTGATGCGGAACAAATATTGTCCCATTCATAAAAATCATCCTATGTGTCAGAAAAGCATTTAATATTTTTACCATTGGCTTCACATAAGCACTGTTTTCCTTGACATTTGTAATTTGTTCTGGAAAATGTTCACGTCACAAATTTTCTTGATTTCTTATTCTTACTCTTTTTGTTGAAAAGTTTATTTTCAATGCTACTCAATGATTTTGAGCTAGAACTGCGATCATGGCACTTTTTTGGATCTTCTTCAGATTGAAAATAAAATTTTTGTAAATCTTCTGTGCCGACAATTTTTCCTGCAGGAATAGAAAGCTTTTTTTTCGTTTTTTAGTTTCTGAAGACTGCAAGGATTTATATTTTTCTTGTAAAAAAATCTTAAAGCTGTCTTCTAAAAATTCTTCATCGTAAGATTCTCTCTCTCTAGATTGTGCGAGAAGTTAATTGACATTTACTGGATGATTACCACACTTTTTAAAACTTGATTTTAAGTTGTTAAACTGATTTGGTTCTATTGCAATCAAGAACTTGTTTAAAAGTTCTGGAAAATGTTGTTTTTCAAGAGATGTTTTTGTGCAGCCAACAGGAGAATCTTTATACTCTGTAATAATTCTACGTCGAGCTGTTTTTAAAGGTTTAAAGAAAGTCTAGAGATTGAGTTATATGCGTGTATTAGGTGGTAGGCAAATAAATTGTATTTCATTTTTTTCACAGGCATTAATTACTTTTGGAGAGATATGAGAAGATAAGTTAATGCCTAACAAAACTTTAACTCCTGATTTTCTTTTTAAAGAAGATAAAACTATAGAAAAAAACTACTCTTCAAAAGCTGCTCCGTCAAACCAACCACTTTTAGTGTTGAAGTATCTGACTCCTTTAGCACCTCTTCCACACCAAGTTAACCACAGATTTACAGCCTTATAAACTACAAAAGGTGGTAGAACTTCACCTACAGCATTACCTGATATCATAATAGAAATACTTGTCTTAGAAGTGTTTCTTATACTTGCTGGATATTTATTACCTCTCTTTACTAAGCATTTTTTTGAGCCTGGATTATCAGTCAAATTTGTTTCATCGTAATTATATATGTTGCTTGGAGGTATTTTGTACAGTTTATGATAATTTCTGAATATAATCCTTTATAGTAAAAATGAGTTAACCAAATCAGACCTAGGAAAGATTTTAGACTCTTTTACTTTTTTTCCTGAACTAATTAGATGATTATTCATAATATGTCGTAAATCTTCTTTACCGATTGGAAATCCAAAATCACTTAACTGAATGGTATATTTCTTCCAAATATACAATTCAGTCTTCCAAATTTAAAAAGAAGTATGGTTTACCAGGTTTTAAGTTGTGTTTTCCTTTCAATTTGTAACAAATCGTTTTTTGACTGATGCCATATTTAGCAGCAACTTGTTTTTGTGTCAACTTTTTACATTTTACCTCTTCAAGACATTTGGATGAGTCATTATTTGAGTAGCCTTTATATTTTCTGGCTTAGTAATAACTTGACATCAGGAAAAAACTTGAATGTTATTTTTAATTAGCAAAAAAATTAATAAAAATATTAAAAAAATATATATAATAACTTTGCTTATATATACAACTTATTCAAACTTTAAAAAAGTTTTTAGATGATTGAAGTTGTGGTTATTTTGTACATTGTGCAAAGTTATTCCAATTTAGTCCGAAAATTATTCTTCATCTATACTGACAGTCACATTAAAACATAGAATAATTCAAATTCATATTATGATGAGCATATGATATGCCATTTACTCTCCTTAGGGTCTAATTCTGAACTGTTAACAGATAAAAGTTGTAAGATATTTGCGTCACTTTTTTCTATGTTTAAGTAAAATTTCTTGTGTGGAAAGAAATCTTCTTAAAATGACTTTTTTACACTATTATCGTATTAAAACTAGAATGTACAGCTGACTTCAAAAGTGTTTTGCAGTTGCAGTTCAAATTTTTAACTGCTAGAGAGTAAAATATCTTTGACTTTGATTGGGCTATGTTACCTACGGTTGTGCAAAGTTACCCAAAGTTACGGTATTTAATAAATAACAGACTTTATAAAACGGCAAACCAATGCTATAAATCAAAATCAGGGAGATGTTGCCGCAATACAATTTTGAATTAGAATTAAAAATGGAAAACTTGGTATATGTTTTAACATTACTCTCGAGTTCCACCCTAAGCTTATTAAGACCCCCCCCCCCGTTTATTAATTTTTACTTGTTATCAACAAAAAAATTATATATCTTAAAAGTAAAAATAAAAAGCAAGGACAAAACACTTGTGAAACAGAGCCGCTAGATGAAAGATATCAATTATTTGATTGTGGAGGTGAAACATTATTTATAAATCAACTTGATGAAGAGCATCAGACAGACGAGGAAAACGATACAAATTTGGAAACAAGTACTTTAAAAAATCAAGATGAAAACAATCGAGTTAATTTAAATACCAATAGTTCATCCGAAATTTTATTAGGTGACTTATGTCAAGGCAATGATGATCTAAGAAAAGATGCTGTTTTCATTGATGAATCAGGAAAACTTTTATGTAATGCAGAAACATCTACCCAATTTATTCTACATCTTACAAGATTGAAACAGAGCTATATAACATCTCGCCGTGCCGTAAAAAGCCGTATTGAAAACAACTTTGAAGCCTTTGACAACAAACAGGTAGAAAATGAAGTGGAACACCACGATGAAAAATGATTCAATCAGGAACGCTTTTGAGGATCTATTTAAATAAAAAGATCATTTTTATATATTTTATTTAAAGTTAATAAATATTGATAATTAAACCTTTTTTAAAGTCGTTCATTTTCTTTTGGTAAATTATTTTTATACGTTCCGGGGATTACATTCTCTCTCTGTTTACTAGAACTAGAAGAGGTTCCTTTTTTTTAAACAAAAAAACCCGCACATTTATTTTGTAGATAAAATCCTCCTCCTACTATAAATTCAACCCCCCCTCCTCCCAAAAAAAAAAAAAAAAAAAAAAAAAAACAGCAGCTACTTGCAAAACATTTTTTACACAAACACATCAAAAAGATGTTGAAATTATGAATAACGTATATTGCTGGATATTTCTTTACTAAATAAAAATTCAAAACAACTTTTGGTATATCTTTTTAAACAAATATATATATATATATATATATATATATATATATATAACCGTTTTTTTCGAAAAAGAAAATAAAAAAAACGAAGAATGATAAATAAAACGATTGCTTCCCCATCCCAAACCCTCAGTCGATGTAGCAGCACTCCACTGCGAGTCAGGCTATTTGTCAGTCGTTGTATGTACTGAAGCCCCCAGCAGCCGGCTATTTCAGTATGACGTCAGATTGCTTACCAAAGTACGCAATACTATTTGTATATATATATATATATATATATATATATATATATATATATATATATATATATATATATATATATATATATATATATATATATATATATATATATATATATATATATATATATATATATATATATATATATATATTGTTTATTACATCCTTACTTTTTAAAACTTTTTTTAAAAAGATTTCCTCCTATTCTGCTCAATATAATGATTGCTAATTTAACATGCTAACTCACTTGACGTCAGCGCATCTCAACGAGTTCAAGCAAACTCCGAAATTAAAATGGTCATCACTTTAAACCTCGCAATTTTTTTTAAGTTTTTCAAAATTATAGTGAGCTTATTTTTATTTTTTTTTCATTCAAAATAAATGAGATTTACTAGTCAGCGTTTTAAGAAAAGATTTCTCTTTGAGTTTTGTCTTAAAATGTTTTGTCACAAAAAGAAACGATTGCGTTGTGACGCACTCATTTTAAGTGATAAATCATAAAGGAAGAATCAAGCTTTTTTTAAAAACTTAAATGTTATGGAAGAAATTCTTATCATCATATAAAACATTTTTTGAACAAAATATCGGAACAATTTTACAGCAGTAAACTATTTTTGAGTTTTCATAGCTTTTATAATATGTTTTTAACATATTTATAATAACTATTTATTTTTTATTTGTATTTATTATTCCAAAATCAATAAATAAATTTCATTTTATTGACAAATTTTCTTGCATAGTAGATTTTAGAAGCAATTGTTACAAAATATCAAAATCCTTCAATTGATATTGACCCGTTTTTCATACTCCGAAAAATATAAAACTCTACTTCGAAATAAAATAAATAATGATCAACCAATTTTTTTGTATTAAAATCAAGCTAGATTGTGTATTTTTAAATTTTAAATTAATAATTAACTTTTATTTGTTTTTTGTTTACTTACTAAAAGAATTACATCAGTTTGTAAACGCACCAAAAAAATAATGATGCAAACACAACGCGGTCATAATTCTCTATTCACGCATTTTGGTCAATGAGACCACAATTGCTTGTGGTTTTATTTCACACTTAGATAATCATATTATAAAAACGTTTCAGTTTTAGAGTTAACTTGATTTGGTGTGAAAATGGCTTCGTTTAGGTTGATATATTTCATAAATTGTGGATTGATGATAATAGGTGCTATTTTTGCTGCGTTGTCTACAGCAGGAAATTATTGGGAGAAATATTCTTTAAGAAGCACAATTGTTCATGTGGGATTATGGCAATTCTGTGGCAAGCCATTTTCTAGCTCTTATTGTTTAGAAAGAGACAAAACTGGTAATAATTTAAATAACAGAGATATATTAAAACATGATCTTTGTTGGTTTGCTTTTTTAGAAATGCCGTAGAACGCTTTTTTATAATTCAATTTACTTGCGATTGCGTAAATCATATAAAACATGCATAAATATTTATATACATGTATAATTATATATTTTTATAGTATATAAGTATATACAAGCATATACATTAATATATATGCTTAAATTTATATATATGTATATATATATATATATATATATATATATATATATATATATATATATATATATATATATATATATATATATATATATATATATATATATATATACATACATATTTATAATAATATAATAATATAATATATATATATTATTTGTACTTTTTATAATAATATAATAATATAATATATATATGAAATATTTTTTGTACTATTTTCAACTAGACTTATATTCATCAATAAATATTTTATAATAAAATATATTAGCCTTAAAAAATTATGGCCCCATCAAATTTGCAACCACCTCAAATTGAGGGGGGTATAAACTTTATATAGTCATAATTTTTGTTATCCAACATAAATTTTGTTGTCCAACATTAATTTTCCCAAAATTTTATTTAATAAAAAGTAAAAATATCTTAATAAATTATGTTCAATGGAAAATATAATATAAATAAGAGCGGAGAATAGATTCTAAAATGGCAGAATGTGTTAGCGAACTTCGATTGCTATTAATTTTTTTATTCCATTTCAGAAATCTATTGAAACACAGATTTAATATGAAACTATTTCTAACTACTGTTCGAAGGTATCGTAAAAATGCAAAGTATAGAGAACATTATTTGCATTTATTACATAATTCATCCGATTGTAGTGGTTTATAGAACTAACACAAAACAAATGAAATATAAATTTTATGAAAATTTGTTGTATGTGTATATGTTTTTGGGAAAAAATACCGAAGAAAAGCAAAAAGTATAATACTTTGCCATTTTAGCTTTTTTATTAGGTATGTTAGGTATATTAGGCCCCAACGGGCACAGACGTCCGAAAGATATCATCACAACGTCTTGTGAACGTCATATATCTGTAGGACGTCGTTAAGACGTCTAGCGGGCGTTCTATGCTCGGTATAACTAGGAATTTATTGTATTTAAGGCCGAAGTCCGGGAGTCTTTGCCACAATTATACCCAAAAATTGATTGTTCCTCTAACATATAATCTTTTTTTTTCACATTAGTTGTTCATAAGCTTTTTTACATTTTCTTGAGCTCCTGGATACCTTTATTGTAAGAAATTTTTGTCACATTAACAGCATTAATGCCATTCAAAAAAAGGGAAATGATAACTATATGGTTGACGTTAACTTTCGACACTTGGCTCAAATTAAAATTTTTACCCACAAATATATTGCGGCATTCGTTTATTTATAGTGTATTTTTCAGTGATATAAGCACTATAGCAACTAATGTTATGTATATAATTGATATACAGTAATATAAGTCTTATACCCTAAATTATATATATATATATATATATATATATATATATATATATATATATATATATATATATATATATATATATATATATATATATATATATATATATATTGTTGTTTATTATTGTATCTGGTTGAGATACAAATCCTCTTGTTTACTTGAGAGTGATCAATATAATGCAAAAATAATTTTTACAAAATAGATCAATATATATATATATATATATATATATATATATATATATATATATATATATATATATATATATATATATATATATAAAGTGTAATTAAATAGAAACATACAACTTTATAATGGAACTAAAAGTTTCATGCCTATCGGCAATCTTCAGCCATATATATTATATAATAATATAAGATAATATATATGGCTAAAGATTGCCGATAGGCATGAAACTTTTAGTTCCATTATAAAGTTGTATTTTTCTATTTAATTACACTTTATATATATATATATATATATATATATATATATATATATATATATATATATATATATATACACACATATGTTTGTGTATATATATGTATATACATTGTATATGCATATATATATATATATATATGCATATACATTGTACATGTGTATATATACATATATATATTTATACATATATATATGTATATATATGCATATATATACATATTTATGCATATACATGCAAATATAATTATATATATTTGCTAAAAATAACTTTAGATGCTCTTATGGCATGCGAAGCATTTATGATTATTGGTTGTTTGGGTTACTTACTTTCTCTTTGTTACAGTAGCGTTCTTTGTATAAGAAAACATTGGACCAGTAAAGTATTAGCAGCGCTACTTATCCTGACAGGTATATTATATAGTAATATTTGTTTTTGTTTGATTTTTTAATGTATGATAAAGTTAATTTTATTATTTTTTACACAACAACTGTTATTGGGATAACTGCCAAGCATCAGTTTTCTAACTATTTTTCCCAAATTGCAAACAAATGTTTATTGAAATGACATAAATGCTACAGAGACATACAACCATTATAATTGCAAACTTAATAAACAAATATAGGTTAAAAATTAATAAAAATAGAAATTAATTTAGATTACTTTGAAAAGTTTTAAATTCAGATCAACAACCTTCTGAAAAACATTGCTTTGCTAAAGCATTTTTATTCGAGCCTAGGGTAAAATATTAGCCTAAACTTTGTATTTTACACAGTAGCTTACAACAGCTATTTTTCATTATTTAAATATCTAGTTTTTTAAAAAAACTGACTTTTTAACCTACTGAGATTGTTTTGACTCTATGAAAACCTTTATCCTCTACCACAAATATTTTTGCGGTTGTAAAATTAATAGTTGGTTTTTTTCTAATTGCGTATCGTTTAGTGACGTCACTTGTTTGTTTCTCTAAATATCGTTGCCGCACAAATACTCATGATTTTAAGAAATTAATAATATCAATCTTGTTATAACTTACTGACGTAACTAACAATTGATTCAGTGTTTTTTAAAAGGGCGGATTTGCTCAAAAAGTTTTGAGCGAATTCGCCCTTTAAAAAACACTGGTTCAATTACAGTCTGTATTTTGTGCATTTTTTTTAGCGTTTCTTACTCAAGCTTTTATCATAAGCTTTGTTTTATTAAAGAGCTGCATAAACCCATCAATTTTGTTTTTCAATTGAAAACCACCACATTTATCTTGCTAATCAGTGAATAAAAAAACTTTATTTTATATATATTTGACTTATTTTTGTGTTGGTTGCCATTTTATGATGTAAAGGCTTTTTAGGAAACATTTAGTTGACAAAATTTTTTTAAAAAAGCCTCAATATTCTGTGATTTTGTATTCATAAGCTTTTAAAGTATTTCTTCTATCCATTAAGTCGCAGTTGTCACGTGATTGTATTTTTATACCCCGATTCGAAATGGTAGACTCGGCTAATTAAATTTAAAAACATAAATTAACAACATGATAAAAAGGATTTACTCTTATTCTGCGCATTCCTATACCCCAATTCAACATGACTGCCGCATTGTTTGTTATTGTTTGACGTCAGAGCGACTTAATGGATAGTAAAAATCTTCTTTTTTTTTTAGCTATTTCATAACAATTGTTGCAGTTGAATACATACGCATAATACCTAACACCCGTCTGGGACGGATGCAGCATTTTTTGATGTTTGAGAGAGCTAACATTTAGACACAGAGCAAACTCGAATTATTTATTGGTTTAATGACATTTCTTGTAGTACTTGATAATTTATTTATTTAATTTATAACACATACAATACAGCTAAGTACTAATATTTTAATTTATTTATGTAATATTTCAGTCTGAATAGTTCAGACCGTCATTAGACGTAAAATTAAATACAATAAAAATCTAGATTTTTATTGTATTTAATTACATACAATAAAAACCTAGATTTTTATTGTATTTAATTTTACGTCTAATGACGGTCTGAACTATTCAGACTGAAATATTACATAAATAAATTAAAATATTAGTACTTAGCTGTATTGTATGTGTTGTAAATTAAATCGAATTATTTATGTGTTTACACTTATGTTAAATTAGAGTGCTTTGCAAAAAGTTTCTAGATTTGATAAAATATTTGTTTTACGATTCTTAACTAAATTTATATTCGTTTTATATTATTATCGTTTTATATTCGTTTTATATTATATTATAGACGTTCAAAAGATGTCTTTTGAACGTCTTTTAAAGTTCAAAAGGCGTCTGTTTAAAACCAAATGCCGGCGAGATAATGTCTTAGAATCTAAAAATTATGACCTTATAAAATTTATAACCCTCTCAAATTGAGGAGATTCAAACTTTATATGGTCAAAATTTTTAAACGCTAAAAGATATTTGAATGAAATTTAAAATTTTTCGATGAAAGTTTTTCTAGTTTAGAGTAGTAAAAAAATTATTTTATTAACTTGTTACTGTCACGTTTGAGGCAGGTTTATTTAAAGTTTAAATGATTATTTGTTCACCGTCACACATCGCAATTTTTTTGCAAAGCATCTATATTTGATATAATTATAATTATATTGATGTTTGGAGTTCACTCCATGTCTGGAAATCTCAAACATTATAAAATGCTGCATCCTCCCCTTGCCGTATGCATTGCTTATTTAATTGCTTTAATTATGAATTACTTTTATGATCATCAAAGCGTAATATTATCTTTTACTTCAAGAACAAAATTATTAAAATTATGCAAAAACTCAATTAAAATCTCTTGATCAATATACATGGGGCACATTGATAATAAAAAAAAAAAAAAAAAAAAAAATAATTTAATTTGTAAATGTAGCAAATACCTGCTGAACTTTTACTCTTTCTCTGTAACCTCTGTAATCTATGCACCTCTAGTTAAAGGGGTATACCCCTATTTAAAGGGGTATAACCCTAATTAAAGGGGTATAACCCTAATTAAAGGGGTATACCTCTAGTGAAAAGTGATTTTATTTAGAAAATGTTAGTATTAAAACTAACAATAAGTTAATAAAAATAACATCACAACTAACACGATATAATTAACATTAAACCAAACAAATATTATATAAAAAAAAACTGTTTAAAAAGATTAAAAAGGTTACAATTAAACTTAATGGCTGTTTTATTTTATTATAGCTATATGCTTGGCAATTGCATTGGGAGTTTACACTAAAGAAATAAGTATCAAGGAATCTACATTTGGCTGGTCTTACATAATTGGATGGTGCTCAGCTGCAATTTCTTTATTCGCAGGAATACTTAGTTTTGCTGAACATATAGAATAAGTCAGTTTTGAATAAGTCTTCTTTTTATTTTCTTAAACAGCAAGATTTATAAACTTTATTAAATCTTCTCATTATATTGTATATATTTTTATTTGTTGTACTTTTTTATTTAATATTTCAAAAAAATACATATTCTATGATCCAAATATTTTACATTTATAATAAATGAAAATACAAAACTAATATCGAAAAAAAAAAATCCATTAAACATTCTTGTTAAACGCATAAAATTAAAAAAGATTTTATACAATTATCTTTTTTAATTATCAATTTTCACTGGTAGTTGCTTGCTTCTTTTCTTTAATTCTAACTTGAACATATATAGTAGCCGCGAGGCTGTGTTTAAAGTTAAACCAATATAGTACGAGGTTCGATGCATAGTCTGGCCGGATGAGTGACATTGGTAACGAAAAAGGTGGGAACTTCATGGATAAATGTTTTTCGCGGTGTTCTGTGATCGTACATAGTCATAAAAACCTAATGTTTTAAGTTGATATATATTAGCTTTATTCATTGAAATCGTAACTATGGTAATTTCATTTAGCTAGTAAATAACCTAATTTAAAAAAAATTATTCAGTATGCAAAAACATGCCAGCAGAATTTACAAAGTTGTCATGGAAAATCGTTAACGAAATAAGCAACATATTAGTTCATACAAAAATGTTCTTAAAATAGTTCTACCTAAATAAACTTGCACTTTTGAGATCAAATAAACGTTTTTCATTTACACTTTAAATAACTAATTATAATGAATATATAAAAAAAGCCTAAAATATAAAAGAGCTTTAAGAATAAATATTTTAATAACTATATGATAAAACTAGTAATTTCACATGTCTTTAACCAAAAAGAAAACTTTCAAATTAAAGTGGCTGTTTTGAAATTTAATATTTATTAGGCTTATTCCTCATATTTTAAAGCGATTCATTGTAGGTCTTTTCACACTTATGATATATAAAATTATTTCTGATACCATCTATTTATATTTATGTTTTTAAATTAATAAATTACATTAGTAAATTACATTAACCAACGTTCACGCTTTAATATCTTGTGTAAATATCCAATAACAAAAGGAGAGCAGAGAGTTGATTAGACATTTCTTATTGGCTTTTTTAGACACGGAGCTAATTAGAATCCAAACACTGTTTATTAACATTGAAAAAATAAAAAGGTTTAAATCTTTATTCTTTAAGAAAAGATAAATTTACTAAAAGAAAATTGACTCTTTAATGTTAAATGCGCCGAATTGTTAAGATAAACATGTCGTAAACAAGAATCTTTCACATAGAAGAAGTGTGGCAAACTTGAAGTTGTTTTTAGAAATTTAAAGTTTTGAAAAAATTCCGACCCTTCCGCTAATTAATACTCCCGTCTGCTTATTGATCATACCAGAATTATTGTAACTAAAAGTAATCGAAATTTTAATATATAAAGAGCCATCATTAAAATAATAATAAAATGCAAAATAGGTGTATATGTTATTATTTCGTATAATATATATTTATAACACTCTTGAATAATTTAGTGAAATACTTTTTAACATAACTTTTACACCTTCTTTTTTTTACAAATTAACAATTATCAATTTTGTAAAAGTAACAATAATCAATTTTGTTCATCTGTATGGCATAAATATGTCATCCAATTAATCTTAAAAAAATTATAACATGTAAATATAAATTGAAAAATACCTTAGAGCTTGAAATTTACCTGTTTTAGGTGACATGTTGTGATACTAAAGTTGTTGTTGTTAATTCAGCAGTTTGTAGCTATATAGTTGCAAATACATTTGAAGCTATATAGTTTCTAATGCTTTTGTAGCTATATAGTTGTACATGTGTTTCCGGTGATAAAACATATGAAATATTTTAATCTTCAATTATTACAGAATCTGTATCAAATAAAACCAGCTAAGGTAACACCATGGAAGTATAAAACAGATGGAAGTTCATCGAGCCGCAAACATCAAAGCAATTTCAAGGGAGTATGCTTGTAACCGACAATTAAAAAAAAACAAGTTTCACTGGATAAAAAAACAACAAAATTTACTGAAATGATTTTTATTAAAACGTTAAAAAATGAATTATTCTAGGGATATGTTGCAAATTTTTAACCATTAGTAATTGCAATTATTCAACAAAAGCTTTATTAAACTCGGTAATTAAATAGAACCACTTGATTTTAAAAGCATATGTTAGTTTAAGCTTCTTTTCTTGCTTCAAGTCATAACACGTTATTTGATAAAAAAGACAACTAAAACAATTTTAAAAAAATCAAAAAAATTGTTTTCTAAGTAACTAAAGTTTAAAGTTTTATTAGCTGTATATGATAACTCCATCCATTCTTGTAGTACTCCATTCATTTAATACAAAGTTTATAAAAAAGTTGTTGTCTGCCGTTACGTTGCGCCATTTTTAATGTTTTTCATGAATATTATTGGCGAACCTTCAAAATGCTATATTTTTAAGTTATTATAAACGTATCTATTTGCGTCAACGTATAAAAATTAAGGGTTTAAGTACAGTCTTGATGTCGTTTTCTTATTGTTTACGAAACAAAAGGTTACAAGCATAGTCCCGAAGAATTTCAATGCGGTTGAACTTCCATCTGTTTTATACTTCCGTGGTAACACCAATATTGAAAGCCGGGGATTCATTTACAGTAAATAACTACAGACCCAGTAACGGGATAGGAAAGGGAGAAATAGTCACTTGAGCATGCGCAATTTTAATTCGGACAAATTAAAACTTATAATGCGCATGCCCACGTGATTATTTTTCCCTTCCCTTTCCCGTTCCCGTGAAAAAACTGTTGAGCGGAAACTCACCTTTATAAATAATAAAAATGACTCCATTGAAAAAAAAAAACGTCTTCGGAGTCTTTTTTGATTTATCTAAGGCGTTTGACAGTAAATCAAGCTATCTTAATTAAGAAAATGGAAAAATATGGGATAAAAGGTGTTGCCCAAAACTGGTTCAAAAATTTTTTAGTAGACAGAAAACAATGCGTTATTGCTCATGAAAATTTTTTTTCAAAATTAATTAAAATAAAATGTGGTGTCCCCCAAGGTTCCATTCTTGTACCTCTCTTATTTTTAATATACATTAACGATCTTCCTAATGCCTCAAATAAATTGGATGTCATAATGTTTGCAGACGATACTAATTTATTTTACGCATCCACATCTGTTACAGAACTTTATGAAATTACAAATATTGAACTTGAAAAAATAAACAGTTTGTTAAAATCTAACAAATTATCGCTAAACACAGAAAAAACCAAATAGATTCTTTTTCATTTTAACTTTATAAAAATATTTCCTGATTTACCTTCGCTAAATATAGATACAAAAGAAATATAGAGAACCCAAGCAACTAAGTTTCTAAGGATACTTATTGATGAGAACATCTCATAGAACTCACATATAGATATAATAAATACCAAAATATCATAAAACATTGGTATCTTTTACAAAGTTCTATACTGTCTCCTGATAATTTAAAGTTCCTATACTTTAAATTATCAGGAGACAGTATACGTTCAAACAAAGACAGTATACGTTCAAACAAAGCTATTACATATACGCTTATGTTGCATGGGCGAGTACTCATAAATCCAAACTAACCACACTACATTGAAAACAAAAACATGCTGCAAGAATAGTTTTAAAAAAGGATAGACTCTCGCATGCTGAGCCACTTTTAAAAAATTTGAAAGCATTAAATGCATATCGTATTCCAAAATTTGTTATTCATGATTAATTATAAACTTGAACTTGTTCCTTTTCACTTTTCGAGTATTTCTTCCCAAAAAGCAAAAAAAAAAAAAAAATACCATACCAGCGTAACGGGAAACTTCAACGTACCTTTTAAAAAATCTCTTACGCTTTTCCATTTCGTACCGTGGTTCTTGTCTATATAAAAAATTAATAACAAATTAATATCCAAAAATGCTCAACTGAAAAATCGAATAACTTAAGTACTCTGAAAATGTTAATAAAAGATCTCATTTTAAACACTAACAATTGTATGATTTTTATTAACCCAAAAACATTTAAAACTATGTATAAAACTAACTTTGTTCCGAAACCAACTCTGATAACTCTAAAACCTCTAAATAACTCGAAAACAATAACAACAACAAAAAACTAATAATAAATAATAGACTTATTTATCAACACGTGAACGACTATAAAGAACCTATTTAGCAAATCGTGAACCGATTTATATTTATGTGCATTAAATAAAATTAAAAAAGTTAAAAACTTCTTTTTGTTTTTATTCTTTGTTTTTTGCATTCTGCATTTTTATTTTTATTCTGTCGAAATTAATAACATTATTTTTAAATATAAACTTATTTTGAATTGAAGTATCCCAAAATAATAGTAACGCATAGCAGTTTCTCGATGACTAGGGGTGGAATGCAAGAAACTTGAGTCAAGTTCGATTTGAACTTTATTATGTAACCAATAGCGGCAGAGTATTTTTGGAGGGGTAAACCCATACTTTGTCTAATGTAAGGTTCGACTCGCTTGAACTTTAGTTTGCTTCTTGCATTTGCCCTAGACCATCGGTCTTCTGCAAGTTTCGCGCGTTCTTTAAAGTAAATTCTAAAATTATACAGTTTTATTTTATGTATTTTTTGTGTAACGTAGCTTTGTGATTTTTTTTATTTTACTATACTCTGTAAACGATTCTGTTATATATTACGAATTTGTAAATAGAAAAAAGAAAAAAAAAAAAAAAAGCAGTTGATATTCGTGATGTTAAGTTATGTTATTTTTTTGTCGTGATGTTATTTTTTTTTATTTTACTATACTCTGTAAACGATTCTATTATATATTACGAACTTGTAAATAAATAAAAAAAAAGCAGTTGTTATTCGTGATGTTAAGTAGAGTAATATATATAATGTAGAATATATATGTTAAAGAAATCTGAGCTTCAGTTATATATCAGTTTAAAAAAAATGTGTCTGTGAGGGCTTGGGCGTGTTTCAGTTAAGGAACTTTCACGCACTGTGCAAACCAATGCTTATGAAAAATAAAAAGGTTTTGCAAAAATCGCAATGATGGAGGCCTGGGAACAAAATAATCCTTAATACTATTTTATCCTTCCCCCTACCCAAACATGGAGACAGTGATGTAGTAAAGTTTTCAATTTTACTATATTAAACTTATTATTCATTGACAAGTTTTAAAATTTAACTATTTTAAAATATTGTAAATTAAAAAAGTTATGACAACGTAAAATTTACAACCCCCTCATTTTGGAGGTTCAAAAATTTTGCATGCTTGTAACTTTTGTAGTTTACAATATTTCTAAATGAAAATCTTTTTTATTTCCGGTTTCACTGTTGACAGGTTTTTTCAGGTTTCACAAATTTTTTTCTAATATTTTTAACTAATCTTAGGAATAGCTTTAAAAAATTTAAATTTAAAATAATTTCATTTTAAATTAAAAAAAATTTAAAAGTAAATCTGAATAGACTTTAAACTAAAAAACAAAAAAAATGCATCATAAAATTTTTCAAAGAAAGGAAAAAAATGAGCGTTCCTTTTTGATTGTCGCCCTATAGGCAGTTGCCTAGATTTGTTTTATGGCAAATGCGCCTAGAGTTGTCAAAAAGGCCAAAAGTAGCAAGGTCAAGGCCATATATTACATGGCCAAGGCCATATAACATATGGCCTTGTAACATATGTTACAAGGCCAAGACTAAGGCCAAAAGTTACAAAGCCAAGAACAAGGCCTAAGCCAAGAGTTTTAAGGCAAAGGCTAATAATAAGAGTTATAAGGCTAACGTTAAGGCAAATTATTAACAAAAATGTAGGTAACAAATGCAGTGACAATAAACCACATGTTGTGAAAATAAATCGAATTTCTACTAAGTCAATAAGAAAACATACTTGTAGATATATATGAAAGCCGAAAATAAAAATACATAAAAATAAAGAATGAAAACATTTTAGCTTTAGTTTCTTTAATTTTATGTATTTTTTTTGAAGGCCGAGGCCAAAACAATTAAAGCCAAGGCCAAAATTTCCAAAGCCAAGGCCCTAATTTTTGGCCTTAAGGCCAAGGACTGACAACTCTGAATGCGCCTATGCCTGTCGATGAGTTTAAATTTAGTTTATGAAAGTAAAGTTGAAAATTGCTAGTCAAACGTTTTAGAGTTTTTTTGTTCACACGCTTCAACCATCGCAATTTTTTGCGTAGCCTCTTCAATGCATATGTATTTAGTTAAATCTAATAAATTACTACAAAGTACGTAAACTAATAAATTTAAAATAGCTAAATATTGCGTATTAAAAAGTTTTTATTTTTTTATTTTTTATTTTTGAAAAAAAACATATATAAAGATATATTAACAAAATGAATATAGGAGTATATTAAGATATATAATATAATAAAATATATTAACAAAATGTATAATATTAAGTGGTCATTCAAAATTACTTCACAAATGGGGTAACTTATAATACTGATTTTGTATAAAATTTATTTAATTGGTCATTGAAAGTTACCCCACAAAAGAGGTAACTTTGAATACGTATTCTGTAAAAGTATAACCCATTCAAAAACGCATTGTTTTTTTTTAAAATTTGATTAAACAACAATCTAGTTTCAAAAGACTTTATTATTGCTAAAATAATATTATATCGTTTCATAACAAACACCCATTTGGTTTTTTGTTTTGCTTCAATGGGTATGCTTTAAAAGGACTAACATAAAAAGAGTTTCATTTACATCAGTTTCACATACGGACTATGCAAGTGAAAAATCTTTACATTTTTTCAAAAAATCCTCAAAAGAAATTTTTTACTTACAGAATTTAACTTTTACTAATTAGTGAGTGTTTGACACGGAATTTACGGCAGCCATTACAACCGAGTAAATCGCGAAAAAGAATACCAACACTTTCTGTATCAGAAAATGTCAATAAATGTGTATGCAAACATCTAACTTATGTAAACTTCAAGTTATGTAATGTTAA